ATCAACCACCTCTCTGGGAAGTCTGTTCCAGTGTCTGACCACCCGCTCAGTAAAGAAATGCTTCCTGAAGTCCCGTCTGAACCTCCCCTGGTGCAGCTTTGAACCATCCCCACGCATCCTATCAACTGGATCCCAGGGAAAAGAGCTCAGCAATGCTTTCAGTTAATTCCTGAAAAGTTAAATGAAATCCAAAAGCAGTGTAGTGGCAGTGAAGAATTGTAGCTGGTGTTTCTTATGACTCTGTGTCTCCCATACATACACAGGCTAAACTGGACTGTCAGGGGTCAGCTTGTACTGTACATAACTGCTTTCTCTTTCTCGCTCTGGTTTAAATCCTGCCTGCATTATAACTTTTAAACTGCTAACTTGTGCATTCCGAGTGTTTGGCACTGGATACTACTGTGTGGTGTTTATTTAACCTATTAGAAGCTCATGGTGCTCTAGGCAAAACATGTCTGTTTCCTAGCAGGTGTTCACAGAACAGAGCCCTCTAAAATATATCAGAGGATTATTAATCCTATCTGGCAGAAGTAAAAAGAACACTGTTGTTTTCATAGGAAAAATGGGAAAGTATCAAGCATTTCCTGTAAATTCTTATGAAAGCCTTCAGTCTTTTCAAATTAAAACAAACAAGATTTTGAGAGAGGCAAAAATAGTTGCCTTTCATTTGTGCCTCGTAACGAGCATGGCCTGGATTTTGTTCTAAATTCCTCCTTACGTAACGTCAGTGGGGATGGATCTGACACAGCTCACGGGACACTGCCGGGAGCAGTGAGGAACATTGCAGGGAACTCCACAAAGTGCTCCTTGTTGAGTACACACACAAAGAGCAGCTTTACACAGAACCTCCCTAAAGCACCACGGTGAGTGAGGAAAGTGTTACAATTGAGGGAGGAGTGGTTCAGATCCCCTTTGGACTTACAGTTACCACTGGACTTCTGATGTTCCTTTCTACAGGGTGAGTTTTGCTGTTAGATATCACATACATTAAATAAACAAGCTGTGTCGCGTAACCTGCTGAGCTCATTTAATTTGATAAAAGACACAGATTTTACGTAGAGGAATCCATAATATTTACTCATATCTTGCAAAAAAAGGTGAAGCCTTTGTCATGGGAAATCGTATTTTGAAGCAACATCGGTTAGATCACATGGGAAGAATATTGGGAAAATCCCTGCACTGGAATTATAAATCGGCAAGCCAAAAATATAGAAATTCTTGGATTTGCATGTATCAGATCACTGCAAACCAGCAGTTAGTTTTATCCCACCAAAAGAAAAAAGAATCGAGGTATGGAATTGCATAAGGCTATATTCAATGCCGATGAAAACTGTGGATTTAATTCCTGCTTTACTGCAGGAATACTAAAATCTTGTGTTGCTTGCAAATGTCACAAGTGAAACAGAGATCTGAACAGTTACTTTCTTGCCGATGGAATTCAGCTTTATCTGTTCTGTGCTGGGAGCTTGACAACACATGGAACTTTGGAATATCTTATTTCTTCCATGCCCAAAGCTGGAGGAGAGCAGCCCTATGACAAAGGCTTTTATGCAAAGTAAATACGTTAGTTTTTTATAGAGCGCGCTCACCATCCACTCGCTTCGCTTTCCCCGCTCCAGGGGCACTTACCAAACTGACTGTGTCCCTGTCTGTCCGCCCACCAGAGACACGGCAGGACCAGACCTACAGAGATGACAGTGATGCTGCAACTTTCAAGCAAACCCTCCCAGATCTCACCCCTGATGAGCCTTCGGAAGCACTCGGCTTCCCTCCCTTAGGAAAGGAGGAAGGGAGATGTGACCAAGATGTGCCCAAAAGCCAAACGGAACCACCTGCAGTGGAAAATAAGGAACCCCAGTCCCAACCCGCTGAAGAGCCGGCAACACCGACAGCTGAGGAGGGGACGGCAGCTGATGCAGGTAGTGATGAATCTCCAGGGAAGTCCCCATCAAAAAAGAAAAAGAAGTTTCGCACTCCTTCCTTCCTGAAGAAGAGCAAAAAGAAGAGTGACTCCTAAAGGCCAACCCACTGCAGAAACACTGTCATATTTTAAAATCCATTAACCACTAGAATGTACCAGATCGTACTTGAGTGTTTTGTCTTACTATGTAAATGAATGCCACAAGTAATCCAACCAGCCCCCCAAGTTATGGCTTGATTGTTAAAGGTTATAACCAGAAACTAATGTCCAAAAAGGTGCTAATCCTGTGTGTTCAGCAGCTGCCACAGATCTGATCCCTAATTTGTAATCAAATGTTAACGACTTCCATGTGGAAGGCACTGATTCACTATATTTAATTTAAAGCCTGCACTGCTTTGCAAAAGAATATATAAAATTCACAGTTAAAAATAAAACACCCATTGCTTACCACAAGAAGCGTTCTTTTCCAATATTCTGTTCCAAGTCACAAGTAAATTTCTTCTTAAATTTTGACTTTTAGAGAGGATGCTTTTGCAGTGGTGTTCTCAAGGGGGGTGTATTCTTGAACTGACATGTAAACTTCTGCAAGCTTGTGAGTACAGGCTATGTTTTGGCCAAGCTTTGAGGCTCTCCATTGCTTCCTCTCTCTCCCTTCTGACTGTTGTAACAAACTGAAGGTGTTTTTCACTTTGTTTTATTTTGTAACTGGCTGGTGAAATCATCTTTGTCTAGGACTGAAATGACTGTGGTGTGTTCTGCTCACATCGTGCGTTCAAAGAGCCCAATCTTGGTTTGTTTATTTTCTTTCTAGTGAATTATAGTTTAAGGGAAATGTGTCTTTCGCTCTTGCCTCCCTGAGTCATGTGGTGATTTGGCTGTTAGAAAAGGTTGAAAAGTAACTGAAGTGAAAGTTTTTCAGAAGTTTTTCAGCTGGTGGTGTGGAGCACAGGCAGGTGTATTTCGGGCCTTAGCATCGTTTTTTTTCACCCTCTTAAAAATCCCTTTGGTGCACACACAGCCCTGCTGTGCATGAACCCCATGTGCGGCCTTTTGTGTTTGTTCCTTCCCACTTATAAAAATGTAAATGCATTACACTGAGTATTTCACCTTGTTTTATAGTAATTATTTTCACTTACCAAAGCTGGCTTTTCTCTGAACCTTTTTGTTGTTGTTGCCAGCGGTAAAGTACAGAAATCCCAAGTAACCTTACAGGTGTATTTTCACCGTTCGCTATAAATGTTTGTTAAATGTGTAGCATGGCAAACCACTCTCGCCACTGAGTTCACTGTTTCCCAGTTATTGCCATGCTTCTGTCTATCACTAATTGTAAAAGTAGTTTAAGATCAGGTAGGTCAAGCTTGCGGAATCCTCCGGAAAGCGTGTGCCGTCACCTCGGCCAGAGGCCGGCGGTCAGTGGCCATTTCTGGTTTCTAGACTTTGCATTCCGGGTTTGACAGCGGCAAACCCCAACACCCCGTGGGGGTGAGGGCAACACACTGACTCACAGTAAGTGTCTGTAGCACAACAGACCGTGGATGTAACCTTTTAGGACAATACTAAATGTCGCAACTGGTGAAATAGCAGAGAACTAATGCCTTACTTTCATGCAGCAGAAAGCGCGGAAGGCCGGGCGGGTGGAGCGGCCGGAGGCAGCTCTGGCTGAGCAGCACAAGGCCTGTGTCGGGCTGGGAGGTGCCGATGCCTCGGGCTGGTTTCGGGCAGTGGAGGGGCAACAGCCGGAGGTGGAATTAGAGCTGTCAAAGCTTCAGGTGAGGAGAGAGGTTTCGAGGTGGTCCCTGGTAGCGTGAGAAATGTGAGGGGGCCTGTTGTGGGACGGGTGGAGGGCGGGTGGCACAGAGCAGTCGGGCGCTGGGCAGGAGCCCCGGAACAGCAGAGCTCAGGCAGGACTGCATGGCACGAATGGCTTTCAGCTTCTACTCTAACCTTGTATGTCCTTGTACACTAGGAAGCAAACAACACTTATTTTGCTAAATTGTGTTTTATTGCAGGGTCGTAACTAAATGATTAATTGCTGTATGTTTCAGTTCTTTACTGGAGTCCCTCCATTTATCTTGACCACATATGCAATGACTCTTAATTTCTAATTTTGTAGTTTGTTCTTTTAGTTCTTTGTATTTACAGTATGAAATGTAGTCATGTATGGTATGGTTACACACTTTGGGGCAGAATAAAGTCCTGTGTTTTTCTTTCTTGTATCATTAAGTTCTACTCACAAATAAAACTCTTGAAAACAAAATCATGCTCTGCTGTCAGAACTTGCACAGTTTTATTCTACAGCTTTAGCCTGTTTAATTAGGTTCATTTTCTTTTTGAGTAATATCTGTGTTCTCAGATATTACTCAAATTGGCTACTATAGGTCTCCCTGCCCTGTCTGTCCCAGCTGAGCAGGAGGCAGAGCCTGGTGGAGGGGTCAGCACTGTGGTTGGCTCCCTCAAGGAGGCCTTTGGCACCTCGGGTGAAGTTCCAGACCCACTTTGGCCCAGCCAAAAGGGGATGTTCAGTTCAGATGGGTGTAAACAAATGTAATTAACTGACCATAAGGCTTGTACAATGTAACCATTTATTCATAATGCAAAAAGAACAGTGCTTGGTCATCAAAAACATCACACAGTATTAGAAATATATAACATCTCTCCAGATTTAATTATTAAAAACAGCCCTCCTGTGCCAAAATACCAGTGGGGCTCAGGAAGCCTGTAGTGCTTCTTGCTTTTGTTTGACCATCTCTTTTGAAGGCGTTGATGCAGCGTTTGCAGAGATCTCGTACCTGCTGTACAGAAATCGCCCGTCAGAGCAGCCTGGGGGTTCCTGCTGTGCCAGCTGAGCCCCTGCAGAGGCTTCGCTTGGGGACAGAGCCCCCTGTGTGCTCCAGGACTGTGGGAATGACACCTGGTGAGTGAGGAGAACTCCAGGCCTGTTGCTGTTTTGCCTGTCTCTGCTTCTCTGATGATCTTCTTAATGCCTTACTCAGCTGCTTGTGGGGAAGGTGTGTGTGTGTCTGTTTTGTTCTGTTTGGTTGGGGTTTTTTCTGTTTCTTTTTTTTTCTTTTTCTCTTTTTTCTATTTGCAAAGCCCACCTGGCTGGGAGGCCGCAACTGCTGTGTGTTGTCGCTGCAAATAGTCATTGTGTATCTATCTCTTTCCAGAAGATCAAAACATTCCTATTTGCTCAGCAGGGTCAGGTGCCAAGACTCAGGTCTTGCAGGAGTCTCTGGAAGCTGGTGAGAGTTTTGTGGTTCCTTCCTTACTCCTCCTTTTTCTGCTGTTTTATAGACCCCAGTAAAGCAAAGGGGACAAGGAACAAAACTCCGCAGGCAGTGAAGCAAATCTCGGCCCCAGCCAGCCAGTAAACTGCAAAGGAAAGGGGATTGTCTTGTTAGTGCCCTTGACCCTGCAGATGTGTAAATGCTTTAAAGCTCCTGCTCTCACAACGTGGGGAGAACACAGAATTACTGAATCCTTGGTTGGGTGAGCCAGAGCACCACTTGCTTTGTAAAGGGCTGCAGTCAGGAAATGGGTTCTGGCTTTGCCTCAGTCTTCAAGCTCTGAGTTGCTGTGTGGCCGCTTCCCCTTCCTCTGTCCCTCTGCCCTAATGGCTCAGGGGAACTGACCCCCACGCAGGGGGTACCTGTGCTCCTTGGGCACTTCCCCTTCCCACCCCGGGCTCTGTGGTGCCAAAGAGAGGAGGGGACAGGAGGCCACACTCACCTGCAGCCGACAGGATGGGTCCCAGGGCTCTGGCCAGGGCTCCCAGGCTCCTCAGGATCCCCATGACTCGTCCCTTCTGGCTGGCAGTGCCTGTGTGAGGACAGTGTTAGGCTGTGTGGAGGCTTTGTTTGGGACAGGGACAGTGTGTGGGCAGGGCACTGCTGTAGGTCTGGGAGCCTTTTCTTTTGGAGGTACTTTCCACATGTTCTTCCCCACCTGTCACTTCACACCCACTGCCCGCTCTCTGCTTATTTGCCCTCCAGCCAAGACAATCACAACTGCTTTGTTTAAAAAACACCAGGGCTTGTCATGAGTGCTTATCCACCCCACCAAAAAAAACCCTAAAAAAAACCCTGAAAACAAAAAAAGCTTTACATTGTGCACAAGATTTTCTGAGGAGGCACAGGTGTACAAGAAACATGGAAGTGTGAATGCAAGTTCAGTAAGAGCAACATCCACGGCATTAATGAGCAAAGCCTTAGTTTTCCACCTCAGCAGGCACTGCAGTGCTGGCAGCCAGCTGACCCAGAGCTACAGAGCTGTGTCATCCACGGATGGCAGCACAGCCACAGCTGCGTTACAAGCTCACATAGCAACCAGTGCCAGAAGGTTTCAGAAGGTCCCTTGGAAGGTCTTTTCCAAGGAATGATTTTTCACTGCTGGCAGGGATGGCTGGTGTCTCTTTGAGAGAACCCAAGTTGTTCCCTGCTCACTGCTGTCTGTGGCCTTTGCCCACTCTTCTGCTCCCTCATCACCACCAGCAGTAAGGTTGCTGCAGTTTCCCCAGCCCCTTGGAAGAAGCTGCTTTACACAGCGCAAAATTACTGTGATGCTGATGGTCACTGAGCACATCATTGCTGGAAGTGCTGGGACAGCCAGGGAGTGTGGGCAGTTTGCAGAGACAAGTACGAGCCTGCGTGGGGGTTCCATACCCTCCCTTGTAGGATGTTTCTGAGCTTCCCCGGGTCAGGATATTGTCAGGATATCCCCAGCAGCCCCACTGAGCATCCCTTCTGTGAAGGATGCTCAAAGAAAAGGCTGTAGCACCACCAGCCTCACACAGCTGGTTTGCCCACCCCAGCCAAGCTGGGTGGAACTACATCCATGGATTGATGGCTGTGCGGGGATGGAGCAGCAGGGATGTGACCGGTTTTAGCCTCACCCTGCAGGGGTGGCCGTGGCTTTAGGGTCACACACGTACAACAGGGAGCAGCAGCTGGGGGAACACTTGCATTCCTGCTCTCCTTGTTAATGCATGGGGGGAAGGTGCCTTTTATGAAGCCAAGCAGCAGCCCAAGCCACGGGTCCAGCACTCGGATCCAAGGTGGACCAAAGCCACGAGCGATCCTGTTGATGCTCCACTAAACTTGAGGTCAGCTCTGTACTTGAGCCAAGTCCAAACAAAGGTCAGTGATGTGGCCAAGGGTGGCCAGTCAGAGCAGGAAAGACACTCACCATAGCCTGACACCACTGCTGACAAACACGGGATAACAATGGCTGCAGCTGAAAAACCCACAAAAAGAGACTGTTAATGAACAGCAGAGCTCAGAACAGTTACAAGAGCAACAGAGAAAAAAACACGTGGCCCAAACTCGTTACTACTGCAGAGAAATATGCTGAGCTCTGGGGCAATCAACCAACACTGAGTCATCAGGTTTAATCCAGTCCAATAATGAAAACACCCCCTCAAAGCCAACCTGCACGAAGGGCCCAGAGCCGGGAGCGCTCCGAGCAGATGTTTCACATTAATGACTCTCACTCTGTGAGCCCAGGGGACAGGGATGGACAGGTCAGATCAGCCAACTGGTAGTTTTCCAGAGCTCTCTGGTCTTATCAGGTGGAGCAGGGAATTGCTCATGTTCCAAACAATGAAGTGGCTGTGCCCAGAGTGACACTGTCCCTGTGCACGTGGCTTTACTGTACTCAGGGATGAGAGAGGCAGCCACGTTCTGTCTGGGGAAATAAGACAGTCATGTCCAAGAAGAAAAGGTTACAAAATTTTTGGACACAAAATCCAAGAGCTGTTTGGCAATCGCTGCCCTCTTACTGAAATAGGAGCCTTTTCTGCCAAGAGGGAAGAGCCTTAAGCATACAAAGCAGAACCGTTTCTGGGAAGGGAAGGACAGCTGGAGAGCAGGAACAATGGACATGTTGCCTTAACTGCCCCAACTGCTGGGGCAGAGGGAGGAAGAGAGGGGGAAGAGGCCCCCCACAGAGGCATTTCTAGCTGGCTTAACTGGGAAGAGGTGGAGTTTTCTGTCAAAGTAGGGGACCTGGGGAAGACTCAAACATGGTTAGACAAAAGGAACACCTCCTCTCACTCCTCTCCTGTCAAGCACACAGCTGGCCACAGAAAAACAAACTACTCAATAGATGCAGTTTGTGGTGTACAATTTGCTCTTAAATCAAGCTGTACCATGCAAAAGAGAAGTCCTCTACTTTTGTAATTGGTCATATTTGAAGCTCCTTAACAATAGCTGGCAGCACTGGCAACACCTGAAATCTCTTTTCAGACAGGGACTGCAGTCGATGGATCCAACTTCACTCATAACTGTTTCCCTGGATAACAGCTTAGATTGGCAGAGTAGCATTTATCTAAACACTTCACCATCTGGCCCTCACTCAGTCTGAACCCCAACCCGCAGCCTCGGCCTGTGCAGGTCTCCAGCCTGCAGCCTAAGAAATAATGGAGCCACCATGGAGAGACAAAGATGTGATGTCTCCCTTCTTTTCCCAAGCTGAGCTATTCAGTGAATATTTTGCTTCTAGGGCTGATAAAAAGGAGAGGAAACACGACCCTCAAGAGCTCTCCAGTGAGACAAGACAACAGGAGCACAGGGGATGCTTCCAAATATTACCATGACAACTTCCTGTGATACAAACAGCACCAGGAAAAAAAACCAGGCACTGTTTCTTCCATATTTCATAAACAGAAACAGCAGCTTTCTGCCACTTATAGTTTGAAATTAAAAGTGCATCTTTTTTAACAGGGTGAATAAATACGGGAAGAAAAATCCTTTGTGCTTAGCTGGCAGTGCCTTTTGATCAGCTCACCGAAGGAGTACAGCAACAGTCCAACACTCAGCATGGTCACATTTGCAGCCCATCCAATTAACAAGAAAGCTGGAATCAGCAACATAATAGCCTGCAAAATGAATGAGTCACACGGTTACATCTCAGCCCTGCTTGTTAAAGCCCAACTCTAGGGGTCCTGCCAGTTCCCTTCCGCTGATGGGACAGCACAGAAGTTAGAAGCAGAAAGCCCTTTCTTCCCAAGCAGGGATTTTAAAGTCACCTGGATGGCCACACACCAGCACAAGGCACTTTTCTGTTCCCTCTCACCATCACATGACTGCAGACCACATGCAAGTTCTCTCTATCACAGATCCACCCTTTTGGGGGGAATTTTTTCTCTTGTTCTGTGTTGACCCGGACAGAAATCTACCTTTAAGTCTTCATCTCCTGAGCTGGCACAAGAGAACAAAAAGCTTGTGTGCAGCAGGGCTACAGCTCATCTGCTTTTTCTCGGCAGTATTGGCTGATTCTATCTTTAGCTTTCAGATTCTGTATTTCTGTAGCCAAGAAGAAAAATGGTGGGGTGCAAATGGCATCTGAAATTCAACACCCGCCCACCACCCCCCCAGAAACCATTCTTCATCTCCTCCAAGAGCTGGACTTGTTCCCCTGTGATGTCTCCCTGGCTTACAGAGCTCCTGCAGAAAACACAGCCCAGATCTGCGGCGTGTTTGATAAAGGAGGGTATTCACTGCCACTGAGTGCCTCATTTCGAAGATTCAGTTATAAATGAGCTACTGTAACCCCTGTGCTGAGAGGCCACGTTGGCCACATGCTGCAGATTCACAGATTGCCAGAATAAGTTCAGCAAAAGTGGGAATTCCCACAAAACCCACTGATATCCACGGCAAGAAGGGCCCAGGGCCAGCAGGTCTCTGCACAGGGCACGAGGTGTTCTTGAGAAGCCCCCAGCCCAACCAACCAACCATTCTGAGATAATGACACTTCTCAGGGCAGGGAAAAGGAAGGAGTATAAAATCAGTGGGGCAAAACTCAGCGTGCACAAACTGCAGTGCAGAGCCAGCAAACACAGCAGGCTGGCCCAGGACGTGGGGAAAGCTGATGGGGAGGATAAAGCAGCAGGAACACGGAGTGTTCATCACAGGGAAATGCTTCCTATGTGACACAAGCAATGTGCCATTAACTTTCTCGTGCCAGGGAGCAGGGTGGAAATGGCTTCACTAGCAGAAATAACTTTCAGAAAAGCTGAGCTGATTCACTGGAATGCAGTGCAGTTTGGAAATCGTTTTTTACCCTGCCACCATTGACATCACAGGCATCAATGTATTATACACTGATGGAGGCTTTCACAGCCTAAGCAAACCTCTTGCCAAGTAGTCACCAGCACTTCAGAAACACCTGAAACCTGCTTTGTTGAGCTCCACACACAAATGTAAAGGACAAGACATCTCTACTGTTCCCACAGCTGTAGAAGCTGCAGGAAACTGTTCCCTGTCATCCCAGTACAGCAGCTGCAGCATCTCTAGGAAGAAAGAGCCAAGCAAAACAAAGCAAAGTACACTTTTATCAGTGAAACTTCAGTCTGAACACTGGCACATGCTTATCGTTACGTGTAACACTGATGATCACAAATCAGATATTGGAAGAAGAATCTATTTCTCTCTGCCCACCAGTGAAATACACTCTGAGGAAAGCCTATCAAGCACCAAGATGGCCAGGCTGAAAACCATTTCCTAGAAGGAGAGTCAGAGACCAGCTCTGAAGCAGCTTTAGTAGTTTCAATGTCTGCACTGCAAGAGAAATCACTGAAACAAAGCATAATCTTCACAGCATTTTACATAGCTTTGCTCAGATGGACAATCTGTTCTCGTTCCTTAATGCAATTAAATATGAGGGACACAAAGTTTCAGTAATATTGTTGCTGATATGGTAAGAAATGGGCTAATGCTCTAAAGTTTAGTTAGACTGGTAAGCACCCACAGTCTTCAGAAGTCATTTACCTGGATGGATGAGACAGAAATTTGATTTGACAAATACAGTTATAGCCTCCAACTACCCTCCACTGCACCTCAGACTTTACAAATCGGGTTTGTGGGGGGAAAAGAAATAGAAATATTATTTTTTTTACCCTTTTTACAGCTCTGATTTCATTTCCTGGCTTGATTCGGCGAGCGTAGCCTCCCTGGATCACAGCCATTGTTATTCCAATAAAGAAAAACATCTTGCCCTGCTGCATGCTGGAAGGGAGGCAAAAACACACATCGTGGAGTCACGCACGGAACATTCCACTCTGGGATCCACAGGGCCCCTGAGGACCCTTCCCTGAACCAGGGAAAGAGAAAATGCTTTCTGGTGCTGTGACGAGCAGTGCAGGCTCTTGCTGTGCTGACATCGGTTTCCAAGGCAGGCAGACAGCAAGGAGAGGCACCTCCAAGTCTTGTCAGATGGATAGGACAAGTGCTGGCAAATGCTGGAGCCCCTTCGCACTGCTGGGGTGCAGGTTAGGTTAGTTCAGTTTCTGAGGTCACCAAGGCACAGCGTGGGCACTGCCTGGAGGGGATCATGTGCTGCACCAGGAACGTGGTGACATCACTCCCTCCACCCTTCAGTATTTCCCCAGTTTTCCTTTTCCCTTCTCTCACCTACTAAACTGTGTGGACATTCTCAGCTGACAGCTCTCACCTCCATGATAGGGTTGCTGTCCCACAGCCTGTGCTGCTGGCACTCAGCTGTGGATCCCACTAAGGCCTGTCCTCAATGGACAGTGCAGGAGAAAGTTCAGTGCACTAAAAAACCTCTCCTTGGCACACATGTACTACTCAAGACACAAACTGTAATGAAACACAGGCAGGGAAAGATGAGACAACCCCCTGAGAATTGCTCAAAGGGAAGGACACACACGGGGATCAAGTTGCAAGTTCACGTTCCTGGCTGGAATTCTTCCTATGACCTGGCAGGAAAAGTATTTCAAACTGAGTTGCTGTTAATGGATTCTGTTCTCTCCTCTAGTATTTGACATGACTGTACACCACATGCAATGCAGAACTCTGGTGAGCAAATAAAATCACGCAGCCATCCCTCCATCCTTTGCCTCTTGGAGTTTCGAGATTTGCCCTGACACTGAAAAACTCCACTGAGCAAGAAAAGGTTTTACAATAATCAAAATAACTAGCCCAGCTACACATATTTCAGGAGCTTTAATTTAATTTTGTGTATTGATTTCCTCTAGTTATTAGAAGTTGTAGATTGAGTATTTCCTTTCATGATGAACGGTGTGCCTATATTTTCATAAATCCTCCCCACAAAGCCCAGGGTTCACTGAACACAGGGGTTGCTTTCTAAGTGGTTTTACTAATGTCATAAAGCCTCTCTTGAAAATGCAAGAAGAGACCTTAAATCAAGATTTTGGAAAACATCCTAGACAAAATATACAACATTTGTATTTCAAGTGTGCTTTACCTGCTGAAGTGGAATCTCTGGTGAGTGAGAAAACTCAGTGTATACTCCAAGCCAGAAAACAGGAAGAGGTACAGGAAATAAGCCAGCCCCAAAATTTTGAGATTCTGAAGATCTAAACAAACAAAAAAACAAACACCAAGGAGGTGGGGAGAAAACCATGGTGGTATTTTTTCAAACATAGCTCGAGAATATAAGCACAATAATAGAGCAACATTTATCAAGAGCACAGGGAAAAGTTCTCACCTCAGACGCTCTTTTTAAATATGCATACAAGACACGCCACCACCACATGAGTTCTGCCCACTACACACTAACCTCCAAAACCTTTTTTTGGGAATAACAGCACCAAGGTCCAATGGAACTTTCAGTTCCCTGTTCTGAGTTAGCAAAGTAGTTTTTAACTGAGCAAACAGAGTGCTGCTTCTGACATGCTTTGAGTCAAGTTTTCCCTTAAAGTTTTCACTACAAAAAGGCACCCGGTGTTACTGTAAACAGCCAGGTAACACTTACTCTCCTGGGAAGGGGATTCCTTTCCTCGGGTGACCGCAGAGAACTGAAATAAAGCCAAAGGGCTGAGCAAGTCGACTGTTGCCTGAAATCCAGATGTCACAGAAGAGACCTGATCAAAGGCAGAAAGAGGTTTATTTAAAAACCTACTCTAATAACCTCTGCAAGGAACTGACAGTGACGTCAGGTGTGCTTCTACACCTCCACAAATCATCTGAGATGAAACCAGGCACCTGGCATTGGGATTTGAATGGCTCCCAATAACAACCCAGACTTTCTGGACCCAGAACTGGCTCCAGCATTGTCACTGAAAGATGGAGCATTGACAGCACCTTTCACTGAAGACAGAAAACAGATTCTTCCCCAGGTTCTTAAAAGGCAGAAGATGCTTGTGCTCCACAGCCTCAAAGGTGGCTTTATTTGGTTCACCTTCTGCATCATCCCTCATGTCCAAAGAACATTTACTGGGAAAATAATGGCACATCTGCCTGCAAGCTCAGAGGAAGCTGAGGATCTGTTCCTGTGCTACAGGTCAGAGACCAATATGTGCAGCGAGTCAAACACCAATCTGTTTTGGTACTGGTTGCTCTTTTAGCCAGCCAGTGACACCTCCTGGGGAAGAAAAGGAAAATATAATTCTTAGAGGCATTCCTTGGAGATATTTTAGAGAGATTTCCAGAGAGATTCTGCCCAGCCACACTGTGTGGCTTTTTAAAGAGGAAAATTTATTTTATAGCATTTCTGGGCCTTGTACTCTGTACATCTCAGCCTAATTATGCACCTAGTGGCACTCTCCCTGCTCCATATCCACAGGCACTTAGGAAATGCTCAGTCTTCCCTCTACAGAGAATTTAAATTTCTAATTGTTTATTTTTCATTCTAAATTACAGAAAAGTAAAGAAACTACTAAAAGAAATAAAGTCTAAATTCTTAAGGAAACCATCCTTTTTAAAGTAGGAGATTTTAGCCTGTCACTTTGCACGGCAGTCACAGGAAGAGATAAGACAGGCTCAGGAATCCCGAAGAATCCCACGTGGTATTTCACGCCTTCAAAGCACTGCACAGGCTTTATCCCATGAGCTGCCTTCTCTTCCCAGCTCGGGAGGGAAGGAGGGAGCTATCGCCCCTTTGACAGCAGAGATTAAAGGTCCAATTATCAGTGGAACTTAATCTCAGTGCACGACCTGAGGACTCACATGGACTGGATTTAACAAAGCTGTAAACAAATCAACCTTCAGTAGGGTATTAACGTGACCCCTGTCTTGTTCTGATAGAATTTCGAGTATCTGACAGCAGAGCTCTGCAGCCTTTTAGTCTCACAACAGCAGCCAGTTCAATACACCAGGCTGGGCTTGTGTAAAGCCATAAAATTCAGGGATATTTATTTCCCCTCCCACTGCACGTACCGCGGGGAGTAAACAGACACGCCCAAGAAGTTTGCCCGTGCTTTTTGAAAAACCTGTAAGAGGATTTCCTGAAGCTGGCTTGTAGCAATCCTCGGTTCCTGCATTTGTTGGCACCACAGAGCTTGTTTGCACTGTAGCAGAGAGAATCTGGTCACCAGCAACCCTCTGCAAGCACGTTTGCTGGTAGTAAAAATTCCCTGTAGTTTGTACCCATTTTGAGTTATTATCCGTGTCAGACAGGATGCCAAGCTGCCTTGTACTACAAGGCTGATTTTAGTTTGGTGCATCCATTTAAAATCTGAAGTATTCAATGAAACATACAGGTAAGTATTAGATTTCTTTAATATAGGCAGTTTGTGCGTGCACACCTCCATTTCTTTCAATTTCTCCTCTCTTTGCCATAGAAACAGCGGTCTAGAAGTAACTTCGTCCACTGATTGATAATGAAAACACTGTCCTAAAACTGACTAGAGAGCTTCATCATCCCCAAATAACAAAGAACACACTGCCAATTTCAGTCCACGTCAGCAGCTGCATGAAGTTTAGATTGTTCACGGGTCCCAAATCTGCAACATGTAAGTTGTATTTTGTTTCCATGCTTATGATTTATTACTCCCAAATTGCTCAATTTTACTTCATGATCACTCCAGAAGTCACCTTCAATGGTGATTTTTTTCACAGTGTCTTTGTTTGTTCTGTTGTCCTCTTATGCAGAGAGATTCAAAAACACGTCTTGAAGGCAGAGTCCAAATCAGGAATGCAGCCTGAGCCTTCCAAGCTGCAGCCTTACCCTGCAAACCAGGCACTGTTCAGTATGCAGAGAGCACAGCTCTGTCTTTCCAGAAGTCTGTTAGTGATGCTGCATAGCCCTACACAGAGTCCTTGCTCCATTAGCTGGACACCAGAAAAAAAGACCCTCCTTCCAACCAGCAGCCTTGACCATGACTAGCTTAGCTGAAAATTAACTCAAAAGCTCTTAAATAAGACAGATTCCACCAGAGACCTTTCTATTCTTCCCTTCTCCCAAACAGGCCACAGCAGGAGCTGTTTTGGCTACCTCACGTAAGGCCAGTGTCCGACAGGTGAAAAGTACAGTTCTCTGGTCTCTCTTTACCTGGTCATGGCACTCATGGAACAATTGAGGAAAAGAGGAAGGAGGATAGTGAAAATTCTGATGTCTTTGGATGAAAACTCATCCTTGTTCCCCCTCTGCCCCTCCACCTTTCCCTTTCTACAAGTTAATTCCAACATGAGTCCATGTGAAATACTTTCCTCCTGTGAAAAGTGGACTGACAGAGAAACAAGGGTTTAATGAGAAAACAGCAAATCTCAAGGAAACAGATGTCTGATCCCACTGGCACATCCTCCTACCAGTTATCGTTATCATTTCCCCTCTTTTTACAGCTTTGTCCTTCCAGCATATCCTGCTCCTGTACTGCGGGAGCACCTGCTCCAGCTCAGCCCAGCCAAGTTCCAGAAAGGCAGCCAACACACCTGCCTTTCCTCTGCCATCCACAGGCCAAGGAAACTGCTCCCCTCCCACTCAGAAAGGGAGAGGAATTACCAAAGAAGAGAGCAAAGCAGCCTAATGAGTGACATTCCAAACATGCTGGAACACGTGGATCAAGTGGGGCCACTGCAAGCTGAGAAGAGATGGCACAGGAGCACCAACCCTGAGACCAATCACAAGAGGCCCCAGAGCCAGACAAACAACTCCTCTGTCAGCAACCAAACACCCCATATGTGCTTTGTGTGACTGGGACCTGACCCTGGGCAGCACCTCATGCAACCCCCACTGCTGCACAGGGACGGAGCCCCGGGAGCAGCAACAGAGCCCTTCTTCTCTTACCGAAATGCAGTCGTGTTGGCTAACACTGACCAGCTTATCAGAACTCTCCAGGGGATAATGAAAGGTGGAGGGACACATGAAGTCATCACGAAGTCCTAAAAGGCACTGGAGCCATTTAATCACTCTACAGCAAAGGGGGAATTGTTTATAGAATAAAGATTCGCTCTACATCACTTCCCTACATCAACATGTTGCCACCACCCCAGAGTGTGCAGCTCTAACTAGGAACAGGATTTTATCCAGAACACTTAAAAACAGCCAAATAGGAAAGAGGAACAGATGACATATGGAATAAAATAGCTGTAGTGCTTGGGAACGCAATGTGAGCAACTGACTTCACACTGGACACAACCCGCTGGGAAACACTCAGGGAAGGTCCAAAGCTGTGCCCTGGTAGGACATTGCAGACTAAATTTCCTGAACAGTTCTCAGTGTCAAACTGGTTTGGCCACCCAGAGACCAAGCACGCTCCAACAGCTCAGTGCTGCTTAGAAACCAGGGATGACGGGAGTTTTGGCCCCAAAAATCTAAATAATCGCTGATTTTTAGCACATGTAGGTATTTTCTATCTGTAGAAGAGAGCACAGCTCAGAAATAAGTCATTTGCTACTTTAGTGATCAAAATATTCAAAAATCACAAAATCTTCTGAGTTGCTCTAACCAACTGAGCTCATCTCAGGGTCATTCAAACAAAGACAAGATAACAGTTAAGAAACTTTCTATCATATACTGGCCAAATGAAAGCAACTCCAGTCTCTGATGCATTTACTTTTATGATTAGCTGGAATTCCTCCCCAGGGAGTCCTTGTGATCACAGTTTAAATTTCACTGTCTCCCTCCCGTGCTCGCATTAGGTTTTGAGACATTTAAAGCCGACACATCAAAAGTAGCAATTAAGCAGCCATGTTAACTGTATTTCTCATATTACACTGGGCTAGGAGATGGGAACATCCCAAGGCCAGGCTGGATGAGGCTTTGATCAACCTGGTCTAGTGGAAGGTGATCCTGCCCATGCCGGGGGGGTTGGAACTACTGATCTTTAAGGTCCCTTCCAACCCCAAATATTCTGTGATTCTATGACCGTGCACCCACTTTGACATCAGCCTGAATAATAACCCCAATCCCAGGAATGAGCTAAATTTCTGAGTAACTGGCTAAGCCATTGCTTCCAGTATTTCAACAATTCTCAAATCCCATTTTTACAAAAAAACCCCCCCAGATCCTGAGACTGATAGTCCATTTACCCGTTTTTCCTTGGGAAGTGTCTCTGGAAGTAGGAAGAAGATGAACACTAAATCAGCCACAGCAAACAGCAGTGCTAGCAGTGCTGACCGGAGATAGAAGACTTCTCCCTTCTCTGTCTCCATAGCGAGGTAAGCACCGATCATGGGGCCCAGGGTAAAACCGAGGGAGAAAGCAACACCAATCATGGCCTGCAGGGATACAGAGAACAAAACCAGGGAGGTTTAGACACCGTTGTTGTTTTTTTTTTTTTTTTTTTTTTTTTTTTTTTTTTTTTTTTTCATTCAGGTAGCTCAGTTCTGAAACAATTTGGATGTCCTGACATTTTCCTTAAAGAAATGCAACCAGATCCAGAACCTCATCAGCCCCGCGGTGTAGGGAGGCACAGCAAATAGCACAAGGTGTGAAAAACCCGTTCTTTCCAAATCACTGGGTTTATTTTCTGTCCAGTCAAGGAAGTGGCAGGAACAGGCAATGGCCCATCATAGTTTGGGAGCAGCATCAGTCAGATGCTGTTTGCTTCCCAGAAAGCAGAATAAACATGCCTACTCTGCTTTGGAAAAGAGGAGGATATAAGCCATATGGATGTGAGCCATGCTTTGTACTAAGTGACTTACTCTCAGGCCCTAAAAATAGGCCCTGACCCATTTTATTAACTAGTGCTGTATGGCTATCTCTCTCCTCAAATAAAAAATATTTTGGCTCAACCAGGACTATAATAAATTGCTTGGAAAATCCATAAGTTATTACTGTGAAATCTAAAGCTTTCCCCTCCCAAGAAGCAGCTGTCCCACGCAGTGGCTTGTAACAATCTGTTAAGAGAAGTTTGGGCCCCCAAGGTTTTTAAAAGACATAACTGGTAATTCACAGGCCAAGTTCAGCCTGCAGGGTGTTTCCATCTGGGCCACTGCCTTCTGGAAGTGGAGAGGGCAGCTGCTCACACTACTTCCTGCTCAGTCAGCCAAATGTCACATCCTTTACCCGCTGAGCTCAGATCCTGTACCAGGGCAGCACCCGGGGAAGTCAGGGGGCACCCTGTGCTGTGCTGCTGTGCTCCCACAGTTTGGAAAGGGGAGAAAAACAGATTTTCCTGGAACTGACTTCCAGCTCCCAAAATCGGACCATAAGACCTTTTGATTTCGATGCCATTATAACAAGAATTAAAATTAAGCAAGAGCAACAGCTCTAACACTTAAACAAAGTTTTTCCACCTCCAGAGCATCTGTGTTTCACTTGTAGGTGAAGGTCATTGGCAAGCAAAGTCGAAGAGCTCTCAGCAATATGATCTGGCATCTTTTCAGAAGCAAGGGGGTATGAAAAGTCATGTTTTCACTTGATCAGTGAACACACACCTGAGGAAGACATACTGAGGACTTCAAATCAATAAGTCACCTGGTAAACCTAAACACGCACCCCCCAAGTGTAACTCACCATGCCCTTGCTCCGTGCTTTTGGAGAGTGCAAGTCAGCAATTATAGCAGTGGAGAGGCTGACATTCCCTTTGCTTATTCCACCTACGATCCTGGAGAGAAGAAAAACGCCAAAAGTCCTAGAGGCAGCCCAGAGTGAGTATGATGCTATCAAACCCATCTGCAGAAGCAAGAAAGGGTTCTTTATAAAGCAAAGCAAAGCTGATAAATAATTTCTGCACATTTCCCAGCTAAACATTTAATTTTGTTTGTTTATACGTTTTCAGTGGCTGCTCCAAAACTCGTGCAACAGAAATGGCTGAATACACTCAAACTGCACTATGTCCTGAACAGTGATGTAAAAGAAGTAGAAACAAGTCCATACAAACTTCATGTAATTGTGATATTTCTAACAAAATCAGAAGAGCAAAGTTCAGTGGAAGTTAAAGCAGTCCTGGGCACAAAACATTTTTGTACATCCCACTCCAACGTCAAGAGAAACCTGAGTTCAGAATAAGAAGAATTCACAGTTCTAGTCCTTAAATTTCAAAATCAATCATGAGCACAAATGTTTATTTAATTAACTGGCCGCAAGCCTACAGGATATGGGTATTTGTATATCCTCCACAGCCAAGTTCACCACCTATGTGTGCACTTGCTGTGCAATTAGAAACCCACACTCTGACCAGCAACAGAGAAAACATCTTGGAGATGGTTCATGTTCGGAAGAAATACATCTTATAGTGCTGTATGGCCCTTCCTAACCAACAATTCCCAGGCTCTGTGAAGCAGGTCATGAAATGATCAGCCTTCTTTAGTCACCTGGGGAGTTAAATATACAGGGATTAAGTCTAACATTTCTAAAGAGAGCATCTGAAGTCATACTCCCATACACAGGGAAAGGGACTTTGGAAAGCCACAGAGACAGGTTTAAGTATTTTGGTGCCCTCTGTGTACAATTCTGGATCTGAGAAGCTCAGCTTAAGCACTCCATGTGGAAGTCTGGCCAAGTGACTTGGCAAGAAACAGTCAGCAACCAACAGACCCAGGACATTCAATTCTAGAACTGGATTGTGACTGTCACAATTCACACACAATTCCATTTCTGTGCTAACCACGAGGTCTTAGTGCCTTCCACTGCGTACTGAGCTGCCGTGACTAAAATCAGCACGGGACACTCACCACTGTCACCAGGATGACAGGCCTTCTGCCCAGGCAGTCTGACACAGCACCAGTGAGGGGAGAGGAGAAGAACTGCAGGATGGAAAAGATTGAGCCAATCAGACCTAAAAGAAAAAGATAAAAAAGTATATTATCATTAGACTTACTGCCTTCATCTTAAATACAAAGACAGCCCACCTGTTCTGGACCTATCAGACTATCTCCTTTAAAAGCATGAAGTTAAATGTAAAACAGCAGCTACAAAGAACAGCTTTGTCTCTGAAACCAAGCCACTCTCAAAACACCAACCTTGCATCGTTATTTAACTGAGGCAGCAAATACAGACAGACCAGATACCCAGACAGACCAAGCAACAGCCATAAACTGGATGATTTACTGGTTACTTCACTGGTGAGAAGGGGTTTGGAACTCACTGGTTATAATGGAATGACGATTTTCCAATACTTCTCCAACTGACTACATACCTTTTCTGTTCTTAAAGTAGAGATAACACAGTCTTTAACAGTCACGGTCCTTTTAAGATTTTTTGATTGTTTGAACCTGATTCTGTCACAATTAGTTTTTCTTTCCTTTTTATCATGGAAAGAAGGACTTAAGCACTGCTGTTGGTGAGGCACCCTAATAGGTAGAAGTGATCCAGCAGACTCCAAGAGTCTTTGAAATCTGCCTCCAGTTTCTGTGATCTTTAATTCCTCTTTTCTCTTGCCATTTCTAGCTTTGCAGACTTAATAATTTGCACTACACTCTCAACAAGCAGACAAAAGATGCCTTGCTGTCAGTTTGTCTCTAAAGGAAAAACTGGGTTATGTGTCTCAGATCACTCAGCTATCAAAGATTTAAAAGGCAGAGGAGAGAGAGACCAGAAGTTCTGCTCCCTTCAACTTTGAGAGAGGCAGAGTCTTGATACGGAACACCTTGTCGAGAACAGCTGCTTGTGATAACTCAGAGCTCAAAAAACCCCCGTGTAAATCTTACAGAGTGGCACAGTGGCAGTTTGTGGCAGGCAGTTCTCTTCCTTGTGTTTCTAGCACTGCACAAACACCCATCCAGGCCCAGTATTTCCAAGCCAGCAAGCAGCAAAAGGGCTGTTCCACAGGGGGAACGAGGCAGGGGCTAAGGGGGACCATGGCACTGGCAGTGCCCTCACCCACCCTCCAGTGTAGGTCCTGCCATCCAGGAGATGGGGACAGAGACAGCCCTGGAGACAAGGCCCAGGTCCCAGCTGAAATACAGCTCCTGAATCCCAGGGCAGAAAATGTGTGGCTGGTGACTGGTCACAGCAACCAAGTGCTCTCAGGGCCTTGTGTGGGCAGAGAAGGTTTCTGCCCTAAAAAGGCTGCAGTCTAAGCAAAGATGAAGGAGAGAGGAATATAATCCTGAGCTGGGAGAAACAACAAGATGATCTTGCAAGTGCCTTTCCAATCCTATGCTCCTTGTGGCAGATAAGGGCAATGAAGGAATACAAGGCTGCAAGGAGACTGCAACAGCCTCTGCTTAACATCACAGGTATAATTAAACTTTCCATTATCAACATTTAAGGTGCATTCAGACAAGATAGACTGAGGCAGGAGCTGACTACAACTAAAATGGTTTGTCCATCTTCCCCTGCTTCTGCAGCCTTGGCCAATTCTACAGTTAGTTAATTCAACTCAATCTGGCAGAAAAATAATCCAGAAAAAAAAAAAAAGAAGAAAAATTCTGCTGGTTTAGCAAATCAAATGGCTCATTAAGAAAAGCTTAGATAGCATCAAAGATAGCAGAAGAGATGAAGCCAAATGTGCCAAACTAACCAGGTTAATTCAGCCACCTTGTCTGCACCCTCACTGCCTCTGACTGCCAGGTAATCAGTGAACAGTCCCATCCCTACTTGATATTGCTTCTAAATAAGTTCTCTTAATACTTTTTAGAGGCCTCAGCTCACTAAAAGCAGAGGGTCCAGAGGGTGTAACTAAAATTAACCCAGTCACTCTCACATCTTTGTACTCTCAGTTTCCTCACAACTGTCTGGATGGCAAGAAGCCAAAAGAGTCTCTGCAGTGTAACATGACGTATATGCTGCTGGATTTTCCTCCCTTCTCCTGCTGGAGCTCATCCACACCAGTGTCCTACTGACAGCAAACGTTTCTGGGCCCTGCAAGGCAGCAGCTCTGCTGCTTTTAATAGGACTAATGAGATTTAGAAGCAGTGCTGCACTACACCCCCCCAAGGGGGAGGCAAGGCTGGGACTCACAAGTTTCTATTTCCAGTATTTCCTACTGATTGATCTCCAATCTTGTGCATATCAATTGTGAAGGGAGAGTAATTTTTGTGACTGCACCAGACCCAGCACAGCAGGATCCTGACCCCCAGCTGGCACTCCGACAGTAAGGAACAGCGGGCCTGAATTTTTGTAACAATCTGTAGAGCAAACTGAGCAAGATCACAGGATAATTCAGGTTAAAAGGGACCTCTGGAGGTCACCTACTCCAACTACCTGCTCTTAGGGTCAGCTGTGAGGTCAGACCATACTGTTCAGGGTTTCACTCAGCCAGGGTTTAACAATCTCTAAAGATGGAGACTAAAAACTGCTCTGGGCAGCCTGTTCCACTGACCATCCTCATTGTGAAAACATTCCTCCCTATCTCCAGTCTGAACCTCCCCTGCTTCTACTTGTACCTTTGCCTCTCCTTCTCTCACCATGCCCCTCAGTGAAGAGCCTGGCTCTCCATGACCTCCCCAAGGGTGCTGGAAGGCTCCAGTAGCTGCAGAGCAGCCCAGGACTCTCCATCTGCACAGCCCCCCACTGAACTCCCCTCAGTGCATGGACACCTTCCCTTGGACTGGGGACCACAGCTGCATGCAAAGCTCCAGATGTGGCCTGACAAGAGCTGAGTAGGGGCTGGTGATCACTTCCCTTAATCCACTGACTCTGCTGCTGCTCAGGCAGCCCAGGAGCTGTTGGCGCCTTTGCTGCCAGGGCTGGCTCGGGCTCAGCTGCTCCCCAGGGCCTTTCCAGCAGAGCTGCTCCCCACCAGGCAGTGTCCAGGCTGTATCATTGCAAGGAATACTCTTCCCACGGGCAGGGCTTAAAATTTGTCCTTATTGATTTCCATAAGGTTCTTGTTAGCCCATTCCTGCTGCCTAAGTGTCTCCAAATGACAGCGATGGGGCTGCCCAGCTCTTCACTGCTACCAGTGTGGTGGAAACAAAATCATTTATGGTCTAAGAGACACTTTCTGTGTTACTTAAATCTAAATCTAATCACAGGCAAGTGTGCTTTTTGTGTTTCTTGCCATTCTTCACATCAACACCACAAACAACTTCAAATGAATGCTGGTTTTTTGGCTGTTTGATTTCCATACCTCCAAACAAGACACTGTTGTATTTCCTCTCTGGAGGTATCCCAGCCATCCCTGCAAACCAGTCCACACCACGTTGCAATGACAAATAGAATCCATCCTGAAAAACAGATAACAGGGAAATAGAAGCAGGAAGGCAGTCTCTCTGGTTTATTTTCAAAGACAGCAGAAGAGCTTAGCAAACCAGAGGCAACGTTAGATGATTCCTTCCCTCCTCCTCCCCACGAGGGAAAATTTCTTCACTGATCAGTTATCATAGGCTAAAAATAGGTTAAATTGTGCATGCTAACAGGCAACAGATAATTGGGTGTATGTGTTTGGGTGGAGGAATGTCTGAATTTGAATGTTTTTAAACCATCAGGCTCGCTGTTTGCTAAATCCTGAACTGAACCAGGCATACCTTGAATCTTTCAATTAATAAAGCAACATGAGACACATTCTATCCCACTGCACACAGATTATTCAGCCTGGGGGAACCAGGGGACTGTAGGTCCAGAAAGAAAAGGTGATGCAAAAAAAGAGTGGTTCCTGAGGAGGATGATTTGAAAAGAAGGGGGCCCAGGAAAGAAGGTGAAGATCTTGGCTATAGGAAATACACTGGAAGTGGGTGAAGACCCTGGAGATCAGAGCCCATGGTGAGGGTTAGAGATAGGGCTGTGAGAAGGACAAAGGCTACAGCTGGAGTGGGGTTGGTTAGGAAGGGAATGGGAGTCGGAGGTGTGGGCTGCAAAAACAATTCTCCCATGGCAACACCTTCACCTTGGGCAGCAACACCTGGGTTAATGAGCACAGCTGGGAACCAACAGGACTTCCTGCTCCATGTTCCCAGAACAGCAACCAGCTCCCTGCTAAGGATGGAAGTTGGGATGGAACACAACACTAGGGGTAGCATCAAGTGGGGTCAAAGCTGTCACCTCTGTGGTTCTTGGATAAACTCCAGGATGCATATCCATCAGGAACCGTCTCACCACTGACGTCAGTAAGACACAAAAGCAATGGTATTTACAAGGACTAGTCCCTAAAAAATACCTGGCTTTTCCTCAAACCAAATCCCTCATTTTAATGAAAAAGCAAGAGCGAAGAGTCTCGTGCAGGTTCACAGACAAATTCAGCCCATGAACCACTGAAATGTGCTGGGTAATCATTAATCTGCCTACAGCTAATTGGTTTGCCCCAAGGCAAGTGATTTTTCTTCCCCTCCTCCCTAAATATCCAAACATTTTCTGTGGGCTGACTTTGTCTGTTCCTTACCTCAGCCTGGCTGTAATAATCCAGGATGGAAGGAAACAGTGGCAAGATGAGAGCGAATCCCAACAAGTCAATGAACAGTGCCAGGAAGACAATTGTAATAACACGATTACTGTTCTGTTCCTGCCTGTCATCCCTGGAGCTGGTGCTGGCTCCTCTCTCTCGCAGGGCCATGTTCCCAGGTGTTCTGCTTCTAAAAAAAAATTACATTTATATCCAGTCAACAGGAATTCTGCAGGCCTTTCAGAAGAGTGTCTTGCTGATTCATTCTTGCTTTCTACAGACTTCACAAAAATCAATATTAGCTCTGGCTATATTAAGCTGTCTGGTTTTCAAGGGAACAAGAACCTCAACTTTCTAGTCTTCGTTATCAGCTCAGCACCAAGTCTGCATCGAGAATGGGCTACAAGTGCAATAAAATCACAAACATTGCTATAGGAGAATCTCAAATAAAACATGGAACTAAGGAGCATTTGAAGTTTGTTGACATGTGAGCAACACTAATACAATGTTCCCAAATGTTTCCAACTCAGCGTTACAGTAAAATAGGTAAGAAAGGGCACTCTATTCCAGATATTCACATTCAAGTAAGTAATAGTTTATTTATGCCTCCGGTGTAACGAAATGACCAAAACAATAACAAATTTAGAAAAGAAAAGGGAGACTTCCTAACTATTGCACAAATGCTGTCTTCAAGATAAATCCCAGAGAGCAACAGCAACTCAAGAAACAACACAAGAAACTTTAGAGACTTGATTTTGTCTTTCTTTCTCTAGGTGACAGCCACTGATAGGCTGTATGAGTTGGGGCATCAAACAATTAAGGCAGCATTTTTATTTTGGCAGAAATATCAGAACTATCAACTCTCTTTGATAATACTCCAAAACTGTCCTTATATCCTAAAGAAGGATGCAGGCCATAAATCACTATTTAACAAAAAGAAGCTGGTCTCTATCCTGAAAGAACACAGGGTTCAACATTTCAACACACATCAAAATCCAGGAGTAATGCAGAAACCACGGACTTCATAAACTCCAGACTCATGAAACAATACAGGATATCTCAGTCATAAAACAAAGAAATTTGCAGTCCTTTCTACTGCAAAAATCCCTCCATGTTTGTTGCACTAAAAGAATAAAGAGGAGACAGAATTTAATCCAAAGCAAATTAATACAAAAATATTCATTGACCTTGATGAGTCAGGAGTGAAAACAGTGAGCAATTCCAAACAGAAATTCTATTCCAGACCAGACATGCCAGACGACATATACTTGTGCACAGAACACCATATTACACTAACTGAAGGTCATAACACTTTGTCATGCTCAACAGTAAATATTATTGTGACATTTTCTTACCTGTGGATGCAGTTTATTAGCCCTGAACCATTATTAAAGTTCAAATGCCATGAGGTAAACAACCGTGGCAGAGGGCCACCTGCAATCCACTTAGTAAACTCCTGGCTTAATGCTCTTAACCAAACTGGTCTGATCACTGGTAGATTTACATCCAAGATCCTTTTATTTAAAAGGGTAAAACATCGTGGCTACAAATATTCGCATTAATTGCTTGCCCAGGAGCATCTGGAGCCAAAATAAGCATTCCTTTAAACAAATACTCTCTGGCCCAGCCAGCAGATGAGGGATGGGTTCTTTATGGGAGATTCTATCGTTGATCCTCACAGCTTGTTTATTCATCCACTAAATTGTATGACCAAGCTGAACTTTATTCCAGGGTTGTTTGAAGAGGGTAACATCCTTCACACCATACCCTCATGAACCTTTTGGCTAGTGTGCAGCTTGAACCCCTCCATGCTTGCACTGACCTTTCATTCTGCTCCAGTTCTGGCTACGTGGTTGCAGTTTCCCTTACGCAATATCCCAAGGTACTACATGTGTCTGCCTTTGTGCTCCATCAGTTTTGTTGTTCAAACCTCTCCATGTTTTTTGCTAGGTAGGAAACCACCGAACACTTTACAGGCCCTGGCATCCTGTCAGCAAAAACAGAACACTTCACCTCCACCACGACATCTGCTTTCTGTGAGGCGTGTTGGGAGAGGGAGAGGATTTTCAGTTTAGGGAAGTTGTTTCTCTGGACACGTGCTGTCCCTGACACTCGCTGGCCCTGCCTCGGCTCCTTCCAGCCTTCCCTCTGGATTCCCCGTCTGTGTCTCGTCACTTCAGCCTCCCACCTCCGTCAGTCCGGGGCTTGATGCCGCGCCCCCAGGGAAGGGATCGACAGCAAAGCCGGCCCTGCCCTAACGCACAGACTCATTTGTCATCTTCCAGCATTAAGAATTCCATCCTTCTGGGGGTTTCTTACCTCCGCTTTTCCCCCTCTGAAATTCCCTGGGCCCGGCTTTACCTGCTGAGCCTCGAGAAGGCTCCTCTGACTCCTTAACACAGCCCCGATCCAGGTCAAGGGCAGGCGCTTCGGGCTGGGGAACAAAAAATCAAAAAGCGGTTTCCCGGAGCAGCCCAAGCGCACAGGACAAGCCGGGCGGGAAAGGGGCGGCTCCGTCGGGATGCGGCGGGAGGAGCCGCGCTCCGGTCCCGTCCCGTCCCGCCGGGAACACCCGGGCAGCGCCGGGACCCGCAACCCCTGCGGGTGTCCCTGCCCGGCCCTACCCCGCTCCCTGCGCCCTCCCCGCCGCGGGCAGAGCCCGCCCCGCTCCGGGGCACCCCCGTACCGCTGCTCCGGCTGCTCGGGCGGCCCCCCCGCCTGCAGGAGCCTTCCCTGGGGATGCTGCGGGCGGGCGGCCGCGGCTCCTCCCCGGCCCTCCGCGGCGCCCCGGCCGCCTTCCTGTTCCGGCGGGGATGGAGCCGCTCCCGGGTCCGCGCCTGGCGCCGCCGAGGAGGGACACGGCCCGGCCCGGCCCGCCCCGGGAGGCTCCGCTGGGAGCGGCGGGGCTGGAGCCCGCACCCAGGGCAGCCCTGCCCGCGCCGATGGACCGCCCCACGCCTCAAACCGCAGCCCTTCCTCCTTCGGGAAGGACACTTTTAAAGACGGAAGACACACTTGCTTCCAGAAGAGAGGGATGTTTTTTTTTCGTTAGTTGCTACATCGCCACGTTACAGCAGCTGCGGGTTTGATAAATAGAAGTTTCATGGTATCTGACCAGGGAAGTTGTAAAAAATGTAACTGTTCCTAAACCAAACCGCTTCCTTAACACTGTAAGTCCGTAGCCCGGAGAACATGAATGTCAGGTTTGATGCTGACAGCAGCACCGAGCACTGTTCCCTTCTCCAGCCGTGCCTGGTGTCCAACTGCCTAATTAAAATGGGAGTAAAATGGCTACCACAGGACTTGAGCACATGTATCACCGCGGGCTTGAATACGAAAGAATCTGCCAGCAAGGTGTATAAAGCAAATGAATAAAGTGTTGAAAATACTTTTGGTTGCCTCCAAGGCAAGGCAGTTGTGTCAGGGGGGTGGATGCGCAGGTATTTGCACTTGGATACAGTTCTTTCACTCAGTGACATCTCTCTGATGGTTCCCCAGCTGATTAGACTTGGAGGAGCTTAGGTAAGCGTAACATCAGGATTAAAATGCTAGTTGGATCAAATAGGGAGCTGCTAGCCTCATGTTTACCTGAGAATTCTATATAGTTGGTTGGGTGTGAGAAATTAAATGTGGCACATTCAGTACATACCCTGAAAACTGAGTGATTATGCCAGGATTGCAGCCCATTTGGAGGCAAACTTCTGCTGTGAGGTGCACCAGACTATGTCGGAATAATCATTTAATGTCTGGAAAATATATGTACATGTATTCTTCTAGCTCCTGCTCATTGTATATAACTGATCAGGTACCATCTGAATTCAGATACATTTAAAAAAACTCCTAAAATCCCAGCTCTTCCTGTTGTTAAACCTACTGGCCCAAAGCTTCAGCAGATCACTGAGCCCAGCTGTGTAACTGCAGTCAACCACATCATACAATCCTGCAGGTAAACACTGCACTGTTCTAGAACCAGACAGGTCATTGCCCACTCCTTCCCAGTCCAAAATATTGCACATCTGAAAGATAATAAGTTTGGTTTCTAGACCGCATTTATAAACACTGGCTTTTTTATTATATCAGTCTTGGTTTTTTACTGAAGTAATGCCTCTTTTACTCTGGCTTTTAGTTTCCTGCTCTGTTGTTAAACAGCAACAGCGTTAGCCCTAATATCAACATTTTTAAGAATTTAATGCCATAGAGAGTCTTCATCTTGGTATTTTAGACTCAGGCAGTGTTCAGATTGCATGAAAAATTTTTGTTTTCCTCTCCTAATTTACTGAAGAAGTTAAAAAAACCCCAAACCTAACCTTTCCCTAAATCAAACCTTTACAAATAACTGGTCATTTTAACTTAACAAGATGGCAAAGCCAATACATTTAAGAATGCAAATGTACCTGCTTAACTTAGGAGACAAACTTGAAGACTAAAAGGAACACATTAGTGGAATGTTTTTAACCCCCTAAATATATAACACATCACAGTCTCAGAGTTACCATAAAGCTGCCCAATGTTCTGTGTCAGAGCTTTTGTTTGTCTTTTCCAAATGCCTACAAGGCACGTGAAGAGGAAAGGAGCCTGAGTTCCTGAGGCTGACCCCAGCCTCTGCACGGAGCTCCATTTTTCCTTCCCAGTAACTCTGCCTGCCGAGCTCAGGAGCAGCCTCAGTGCCTCCAGACAGCAAGGGCTGATGGCCAAAGGTGGAGGCTCACGCTGAGTATGGACACACCACGGCAGCTGAGAACTCCTGCAAGGCATGACTGAGAATATCAGACTGCTTCCAGCTGACAACCAGACCAAACCGCTGAGGAAGCTTTTTATACTGCCATAAATAAGGTAATTTACGCAGTTTCTGGATGAACAGTTTTGTTCTCACCTTATTCTTCACAGTATTCCTCCTATTCAGGGCAGCTATTCTCTGGGACTGCTGATGTTGATGAGCTGCCTGAACTAAGGGCAAAATGGTAGTTTTCCTTTTTTGTTTCTGATGACTTGATTGTATTTGCAGAATAGTTTCTTCCTTTGGTTAATTAAACACAGATTTATAATTGATAACAGATGTGTCAAAAGGCTGGTTAGGATAGGCCCTGTTTCAAGAGCAACACAGAGACAAGACAGTAACTCATAAATATGATTGTATTAAGAGAAGCTTTATGAGAAAGGGTCTGCCAACACTCAAGCTTGTGCAAGCCCTTTGTAGTCCAAATGACCAGACCTTCCTTTCACATAAGAGCAACAATGGCAAAACTATCAGACCATATTCACTAGTAAGCTGAGGCCAGTCAGTCAGGCTTGCTTTCCAAGTCATGTAAACCTACAAAGTGCCCTCAGCTGCTCCTCATCTGGCTCCCCCTCAAGGCCCTTCACCATCTTCATTGCCCCCCTTTGGAGTCTCTCTAATGGCTTAGAGTCCTGCTTATTGTGACACCCCAAACTGCCACAATATTCAAGGTGAGGCTGCCACAGTGCAGAGCAGAGTGGGACAAGGACAATCCCCTCCCTGGCCTGGCTGGTGATGCTTTGCCTGATGCCCCCCAGAACAAGGTTGGCCCTCCTAGCTGTGAGAGCACTGCTGACTCTTTCTTTTGTGTGTTTGGGTTTTTTTTTGTTTGTTGTTTTGTTGTTGTTGTTGAACAGGGCCCTTTCCCAGCATCTCATTCCCCAGTCTGTCCCTACATCCAGGGTTGCCCCATCCCATCCTCTGATCTCTCTTCAGGGCCTCTCTGCCCTCGAGGGAGTGAGTTGACAGCTCCTCCCAGTTTAGTTCTTCAGCAAACTCAGCACCCCTTTGAGTTCTGCATCCAAGTCATTTATGAAGGTGTTGAAGAGAACTGGCCCTAAAATGGAGCCCCACCAGTGACTGGTCCCCAGCCTGATGCACCAAAAGGCTTCTGCTGTACAACTTTTTTTAATGTGTGTGTAGTTCAAGGTAGTCTAAAACCTGGTTACACACATGTCAGACTTCTGATTATTACTAAAATAAATAGAAGCATGCCACCTACAAAAGTGTTATTTTTATTTTCTTAATGAAAAGCTGTGCATTTTCCCAGTAATCAGGTTCCTGTTTTCAGACAGATCTGATGATGTTGTCTCCTCAAAAGAAATGCATCCAAAGAATGCAATTAAAATATATTCAAAAGCCATAGAATTGGGGTATTTTCTATGACAGTAAAACCAAAGTTTTCTGCTGTATACAGTCCCAATTAATTCTTCCATTTTTTCCTTTTCATTGCTTTCCATTCACCTTCCTGTGTAGCAAGGCTACCAAGAAGCTCTTTCACTTTTCTTTTTCTGGCTGAATCTCTGTAAAACAAACAATCAACATATAAAAAAATTCAGAAAGTTTGTATCGGGGAAAATAAGTAAATACAGTAAGAGAATAATTATTAACTCATAAAAAAACCCCACAACTCAAATTTCACCAACACATACTTTAAAAATAAAAACATAGAGAAATGAAACTGGAAAGCTGAAAACACTTCAAATGAACACAGAGCAGAACAGCCCCCAACCTGGTGCTGAAACAACAGCTACATTACCTCTCCATGATTTCTGAAAGCTGCATTCTGGCCAGGAATTGGTTATCCTTCCGAATCTCACGGATGGCTCCTTTAAGTTCACGTTTATGCCTCTGAATCAGCTGCTTTCTCTCTTGCTCCTTCTTGCTGCTTGCCTGCTTTCTCCCAAACTCTAAGCTGGAATGAGAATGAATGTGTGAGCACAGAACACCTGAACAAACCCAACTCATTCATGTTAGAAAGGAGGAAGTTTCTATATGAACACTAACTCAGTATTTTAATTCCTGCAAATTCATGCAAAATAAGGAGCCACCCGATGAACGTACTGGACAAACACTTGCCAGACCTTCTTACTGCACATCGTCATCAGGCCAACAACCAGCAGACAACTTTTACACTTCAATCCCCCATCTACGATCTGCTCTTTGAACAGACTAAAGATGTCTGGAAAAAGATGGAATCTCCCAGTGTATTTTAATTTTTTGCAGATGTTCCCTGTAAATGCACTTTACAGAAAAAGTCTGATCAGTTACTTGGGGATAAGTGTGCATGGTGGAGGAAAGCTGCCCTCTTCAATTACCAGAGTAAAGAAAGCAGACAATTTGTGCCCCTGGAGATAACCAACAAGGCTAAACAAGTCAGCAGCCAACAGGAAGCAGAATTCCTGAATCACAATACTGTTCTATTATCTACAAAACTAAAGTGGTGTTTCTAAAATCTAATTCCAAAACAGAACAGAAAAATGCACATGGTCATTGCAAGCTCTGTAAAAAAGGGGGGGAAAGACCCATTGTTTTTTATCACTGCTACTGTTGGAAGGTTGAAAGCTGCTTGGCTGGGGGAATGAAAGGAGTGGAGCAAGTAAAGGGACATTTCATCTGACTGATGGTTATTACATCTGATGCAGATGGAACAGTCTGCCTTATTTTTGGCACTAAGGTGCAGAAGATCCCTCATCATCCATTCTTACCT